TATCATATGTAGATTATGCCTCAACATAGTTGATTTTTTAAAAATCAGTTCAAAGTGGATTGTAGATCTAAATGTGAAAGGTCAAATAATAAGCTCCTTAAAGATACCATGAGAGAATTTCTGAAATGGGATATAAAAAACACTAATGTTAAATTAAACTGTATTAAAACCTGGAGCATCTTGTCTTTAAAAGGCACTAACAAGAGAGTGAAAAAGGCAAGCGGGCTTCCCTGGCGGCGCAGTGGTTGAGAGTCCACCTGCCAATGCAGGGGACACGGGTTCGTGCCCCAGTCCGGGAAGATCCCACATGCCGCGGAGCGGCTGGGGCCGTGAGCCATGGCCGCTGAGCCTGCGCGTCTGGAGCCTGTGCTCCGCAACGGGAGAGGCCGCAACAGTGAGAGGCCCACGTACCGCAAAAAAACAACAACAAAAAAAACAAGCTACCGTGAGAGGGGAAAAAAAGTGTGTGTGTGTGGGTGTGTGGGTGGGTGTATGTATGTATTTTTTTTTTTTTTTAACATCTTTATTGGGGTATAATTGCTTTACAATGGTGTGTTAGTTTCTGCTTTATAACAGAGTGAGTCAGTTATACATATATATATGTTCCCATATCTCTTCCCTCTTTGTCTCCCTCCCTCCCACCCTCCCTATCCCACCCCTCCAGACAGCCACAAAGAACCGAGCCGGTTTCCCTGTGCCATGCGGCTGCTTCCCACTGGCTATCTACCTTACGTTTGTTAGTATATATATGTCCATGTCTCTCTCTCGCCCTAACACACCTCACCCTTGTAGGTATATTTTTTTTCTTGAAAACTGCCTCATATTCAAAAAATATAAATAACTCCTACAAGTTACTAGGGAAAATCCCAAATACTTTAAAGGAGAAAGGAGGGCAACAATGTGAATAGGCACATCATAAAAGAGAATTTCCAAATAGTCAGTAAAGACATGAAAAGCTGCTCTAGATCTTTAGTCATCAGAGAAATGCAAATTGAAGTCATAATGCAGTATCAATATATATGCACTGAAATGGCTAAAATAGACAATACTGTTAACAAGGTTGAGAGCAACTGTCATTCTGCTACATTGCAGGTTGGGGTGGGAGTGTAATTTGTACAACCACTTTGGGGAAACTATGGCAGTGTACCCGTGCGTTATGACTAAACAGCTTCTCTTTTAGAATATACCGCACAGAACAGTATGTGTATCAGGATACATACTCAAGAATGTTCATAGCAGTTTATTTGTAAATAGCTATAAATTAATAACTATGCAAATATCCATTAACAATAGAATTGTTGTTTAGTCAAACAATGGAATACTATAAAACAATGAGAAAGAACAACCTACTACATGCAACTACATGGATGAATCTCACAAATGGAATATTGACTGAAGGAAGACAGATTCAATACATATATAAGATTCCACTTATATAAATTTCAGAAATAGGTGAAATGATTCCTTTTGGTGTGGGAAGCTGGGATCATGGTTACTCTGGGGTAAGGAATAGGCACAAGGGGTACTGGTAATATATTGTTTCTTGATCTGGGTGGTAGTTACATGGATGTGCTTATTTTGTATAATTTGTCATACTTTACATTTATGATTTGTACACTGTATATAATGCTTTGATTTTTAAAAGTTTATTTTTGGGAATTCACTGGCGGTCCAGTGGTTAAGACTTTGCACTTCCACTTCAGGGGTTCAATCTCTGGTCGGGGAACTAAGATCCCACATGCCATGCGGCCTGGCCAAAAAAAAAACCCAAAACGTTTATTTTTAAAAATTAATGATGAAAAAGTAAAGATATTTTGAGGGAAAAAATTACATTTTACTCTTGATAGTGTGGCTGAGAATGAGATTACTGTACAGAAATCAATAGTTTTTCTTTAATAATTAGCATCTAAAAATGGAGGCAGGGACTTCCCTGGCAGTCCAGCGGTTAGGACTCCCCGCTTCCACTGCAGGGGGCATGGGTTCCATCCTTGGTCAGGGAACTAAGATCCTGTGAGCTGCTGGGCATGGCCAATAAATTAAAAAGAAAAATGGGGGCAGTAATAATCATTCCACTTACAGTGGTGGGCGGCTTCACTTGGTACAAGCTGAGATCTCTTTTGTTTTGGCTCCTACTGCTTGCCTCTTGCTTTTAGCTCTATGGCTTCTCTGTGGTTGCTGCTGCAGTCCCTACCATGAGAACTTACTTGAGCCAGCGTCAGGGGTATTTAACATCCAGTGGAGCAAACTTTGGTCAGCAGGA